GGGACAAATGCCACAATCACCAAAGTTTAATGTCACACTCTCATTGACGACATCCTAATTCATGTTTTATTCTTATTCGTAATTTTACCTTGGATACGCCTAATATTCTGTATTAATTCGTTATATTTAAAACGCGTATACAGTATTCTTACGTCATTTTGTATATGGCTTTGACTTCTGCGTTACTTGGAACTTCTAATGAACATTCTTTCGAGATAAAATTTTACATTAAAATGCTAACCAGCATTTTCGGTAATAATCAAAAATCAAATAAATAAAACTTATTTTTTCACCTCTATAGATCGTTACATTTAAAGCTGTTTAGTACCATTAGTGGCCAATTCTTCACTGAAAAGTTTTCTCGAGTCGAAGCAAGCTAGTCGAGTAATCTACCCTTCCAGGCATACCCATCAACGGATCAATCATCCGTACAAAAACAATATTAACCAATGAGAATTTAACGAGGTCACATTTTTTTTAACTGAATCGTATTAACAAAAAAATAAATACTGGTGCTGTATAATATTTTTCGAACTGGACATAAAGGGAATTATGTGGTGATTATATTTTGATCTAATGACCATATGCATATTTATGTGGATTTGTTTTACCTAATGCATATTCAACGAGATAAAAAACTATACATAAAATATTAGGCCATGGGTTTATCAGAAAAGAGTTTAAGCCAAAGTAAACTATTTTAAACTAGATGATATTTCATAGTTTAATCATGGTTGAATCGACACGCGGTCCATGGATTCTACATAGTCGGAGTGGTTAAGGTGTATGCTTTCCCATCCCAGGGTCCTAAACAAGAAGTGTGTGGTAGGAGGTCAAAATAAGTTTGTAAAACAAACTTTAAGACATGACCACCAGTTGAAACAAATAATAATAATAATAATAATAATAATAATAATAATAATAATAATAATAATAGTACAGTTATAATAATAATACAGTAATAATAATAATACAGTAATAATAATAATAATACAGTAATAATAATAATAATAATAATAATAATAATAATAATAATAATAATATAGAGTAGGCCTATATTATAATAATATTGTGTTTTTCTTGTGTAGCGAAACACCTTCAAGTAGCTCTATTGTCTTTGAGATATATTTTGTTTTCTTTTTTCCAGATCGGCTCTTCGTATACTATTATTAATTATCTAATTTCTGTCGTTTCTTTCAGCTTGTCGTACTCTCCCTGTTTTTTCCTGCTTTGTTGTACACCTTTGGAAACTAACACCTCTATAGACCTACCCACGCTATAGTAGTTTAAGTTGCTAAAGTCTGTCTTTATTGTCACGTACAAAATACATTAAACTAGTCATCCAAGGTCTAAAATATAACTACTGTTAGAAACACATTGGCTAAAAAATAACACTGGATGTATGTGAAATTTGCATAAACGCTTTTCAAAGATACAACTTTCTTACATTGTTCATTTTCAAAATGTTCAATAAAGGAATAATTTTTTAATAGTTGTTTTACAGTTTTATCCAGCTTACTTTAGCTCGATAAATTGAATGGAACTGAGCCAAATTTACTTTTTATGCACCTATAAAAATAAACAAGCATGCTTTTCTTAGCGAATAACGCTCACTTATAAACTATTGTCAATGTAGGCTATATAAACTGTTGTCAAGGCAGAAAAAATGTAAATGCAACCAATATTATTGAGACTGATTAATATGAAAGTAAAGAACATAACATTTCGCACGTCGTACGTGGGCATAGACTTATCTATAGTTACCAAAATGTACATTAATACTCACAAAATCAATATCACAATCAATGGTGCCTACGCATAAATTGACTTCAACTAACATTTACAGAAAAAAAACCATACGATATCTAATTATCCAAATATGATATCATGCAGTGTGGGACCCACGTGACATACGGTATATCACCATATTTACCGTATGCTATGATTAGTATAGTTAATATAGTTTTATTTACAGTGCGTTTTCACTGTCCATCTCCGCTATGTCGTGCATCATTATCTTAACCCAAGTCGATCGTCATGAATAATGGTATATCGACATGACCATATATATATATATAT